GACTCATGGCAGCCCAGCTCCAGGTCGAGCTGTTGTTCAGCATCTTAGCTGTAGAGGGCAGTGTCACTGGCCCTCATATGTGGGATCCGAACCGGCCCTCTGGCGTCCCAAGCCAGCTGTTAACCAATGCGCCACTCGGCCGGCCCTTGTTGGGAATTTTATACGAGTGTTTAGTAATTGAGAATTTGAACTGACTCATGAGTCATTTGGTTATGTGTATAAAAGTATATGATGTAAATAAAAGTGGCTGTTGTGGAGATTGTGATACAGCGTAGCAAAATAATCACTGCATGTCCACTGGACTGAAGCTCCTTGTCTTTATTTGATTAACTGTGTCAGTGAGTATGTATGTAGAATGCCCAGATTTCTGACTTGGTGCTCTCATTCCTTTTTCATCTGCAGAGTTCTGAATTACTGCCGTATTTTCACTGAATTATGTGAAACTTTTCTTGAAAAAATTGTTTGTACTCCTGGACAAGGTCTTGGGGACCTACGGACTCTGGAACTACTGCTTATCTGTGCAGGACATCCTCAATATGAGGTAGTATTTATACTGTGCGAAAGCCATTCTCCACGTTTTAGGTTGCATGTTATCTGTATTCCATTGCCTCTCACCCAGCTTTTTATTCGTGGGAAGTCATGGTCTTATTTTTAATTAATGTGTGTGGGAATTTCCCTTTGTATTGGATTTTTAAAAAACTATGTTTGGGCTCCTGCTTTGAATCCTTTTCTATTTTTTTTACCTGGCTAGCTGGGCTGATTGGTGTATGCACCTCAAGGAATCTGTTAGTAAGAAAACCTACCTTTCTACTGAGCCCCCTCTCTAGCTTCAGTTATTCTTTAGATCTCTACAGCCTAAAAACAAACAAAACAAAAATATCCCCCCAAAAAAACACATCTTAACTACATCTCCACAAGTTTTAACATCCAAAATTTGTCTCCAAATTATGGATGGAAATGAGAAAGGGATTGGAAGGACTTAAAAAGTCTCCTTCGTTCCAAAATCTGTAAGACACCTTGCTTCTTTTAAGTTTGCTAGATTTTCAAAAATCTTTTCATTTACTCAGTAGTATAAGAAGTAAGAAAGAATCCCCAAGTTGGGTATTGTTTTAAATAGCTCTATTTTGGATTCTTGATGGGAAAAGAATGATATAGGGCCCTTCTAAAGGGGAGTAGTCAATGTTTATTCATTTAATGTAATCTCATGAGGATATCTGGATTTGAATGAAACTCAGAATATTTTTGGGAGGAAGTATAGCACTGCATAATAATCATCACTCCTTTAAATTAAACAGTGTTGTAAGTAAGGTAAGCTGTGGGTAAAGTCCCAGACTTTTCCTCCCTTTTCTCTCCCATTCAAGAAAGCTAGCGAATAAGAGTGACAAAAAGTTACGATATGTGCAGGGATTTGCAGATGGTTTATCAGGTTAGAGGTGTTCTAATCTCAAACATAAAATGATTTCAGAATTTCGGAAAAATGACTTTAAAGGAAGGACTCTTCCTATTTTTCAGTCTTTCTAAATTCAGAATCCAATATACTGTTGGAGTAGTAATCTCAGGGCTAAATAGCGAATGTAAAACCAGTCATCCTAAGTGGAGTTTTGGGTCTAACATGGGAAGGTAATTTGGGAGGATAATCTGCTAGGGAAAAAAAAAAAGAAGAAGAAAAACGAAAAAAAACAAATCTGCTAGAGAAAAATGTGGCTTCTTAACTGGTTCCACTCATATTAAGTATAGTTTGTTTCCTATATGGCCCTAGTAATAATAAAACTCATTACATTCCTTTTTATCTTTCTCTCTTTTAATTTAACAGGTAGTAGAAATTTCCTTTAACTTTTGGTACCGACTAGGAGAGCATTTGTACAAAACTAATGATGAAGTTATTCACGGCATCTTCAAAGCTTACATTCAGAGGCTGCTTCATGCCTTGGCTCGACACTGCCAGCTGGAACCAGACCATGTGAGTTCTCTACTTCTTCAACGCTCAATTTCCTCCTGTTGTCCGTGCCCATTTGAAAGGGAACTTTTGAGAAAAAGCTAATGGAATCTGCGGGTTTTCTATCAGTCTATCGCTTACACTGAAGAAATCAATACCGGTGTAATGAAGAGTATTAGACCTAAAAAGAAATCAACCCTGCTGAGCCAGTTAATTCTCTTGGGAATTGACCTTAAATAATTCTGCAGAAGAAAAAAATAGCTACTTTATGTACAAAGCATTAGCTATAAAAGTAGAAAATGGTAAACCCATGTGCATCAGTATAAGAAGAGTTACTTCAATTATGATGTAGTAACTTGATGTACCATTATGCAGCAGTTAAAAATAATACCTTGAAATAGTGATAGTTGGCATGCTAAATGAAAAAAATCGGAATACGAAATTTTATACTCTTATTTTTTTTATACTCTGTTTTAATAGTATGAAGTATGTGGTTGGATTAAAACTAATACAAAAGTGAAATATTTGTGTGAGGATGTGTAGAATAGCATGATTTTCCTCCCACATACATACATTTTTCTTAATATTTATGTTGATTTTATAATTTAAAAGAAAAGACAGAAATAATTATTTGCTTACAGGAAAATATACTAGAAATATTATAAAATAGTCCATTCAGAAACTCTTCAACCTCCATTCTTTGCTCAGTCTCTTCAGATTTTACAGTCATTTATTTCATCCTTTTGGTGGTTTGGTTGGTCAGTTTAATCCCTGTCCAATTACTTAGGATCTGGAGTGAGCTTTTTTCCATGTTTACAAGTAAACCTGACATGAAAACTGTATTATTCTCTTCATTTTTGTGTTAACGTTGTTATTTCAGTCATGGTATTTTGTGTCTCCACAGAACCTTAGTGATCTAGTGGTTTTCAATACTTTTTTTTTTAACTGAGGAATTCTCTCTTCACTTCTTACTACTTGGCAGCCTGATATGTAAATAAAAGCAGGCCTGCTCTGGTTTAAATGCTCTACTTGCTTGATCCCCTTCTTCCCTTTGCTAGTATTTAGTATTGTGGCACTATTTCCCTTGCAGGTAATTCCCTGCACTTATAGGTGTATAGTGCTATATGATTCATTATCTCACCTGAGACAGCCATCATTTCCTCCTCACTCCTTTACTTTAATTTCTTCATCTTAAAGCAAAGAGGTTGAACTAGACCAACAATTCTCAGTAGTACTAAAGGCTTTTTTCAGATTTCATGGTCCAAGATTCTTATACATGCCCTTAACCATCTCACAGTTGGTAAGCCTGTGTTTACTCATAGGAGTGTATTGGAATAAGAAATATTTAAGAAGCATGAAATGTAAATGATCTCTTTTTTTAATGAAAAATTTCAAATATACAGAAAAAGCGAAGTGATTTTACAGTGAATATCTGTACACCTACTACCTAAATTCTACCATTAATATTTTATTATACTTGTTTTATTATGTATGTCTCCACCTATATAAAATTCTTTTTAAAGTCTGAAATTCTATTCTGTGGTGTGGTGGCAAGTTATTGTGATAATGCTTGATTTTAGTAGATCTTGAACCATAAAGCTTCAGAGGCTTATTCAGTGCTAAAAAGCTAGACCATATCGAGATAAGCTTATAAACTCTTAAATTAGCATGTCTTCCAGGTCATTTCCCACCCTCACCACTCCAAATTTTTCTAATAACAGAACAAGGTGTAGCTTGGAAATGAAAAAAATAAATGAAATAGAAGAAGAGCTTCTCATAGTAAAGGTGGTTGAGTATAGGTTCTATTGACTTGACGTACCCAGAAGTTTGGGAGATGCTCTACAGTAAAACATCCATGTGATTTAGGGAATTGACCTTTTGTTCATTGGGACTAGACTGCTTAATGGCCTTTTCTTCTTGATTTGATAGAGGTCAGTGAAAGCCTTCGTGAGTTTAAAACAAATGTTATTCGATTTGAAATTTTCAGGAGGGGGTTCCTGAGGAGACTGATGATTTTGGGGAGTTTCGGATGAGGGTATCAGACCTGGTGAAAGACTTGATTTTCCTGATTGGGTCTATGGAGTGTTTTGCTCAGGTAAGCCCGTTTGGAGATTCTTAACCAGTTTTAATGATCACTTTAATTGTGTTCACTTCTGTGTCTTCTATAAATGTTCCATCTTTTTCTTCAATCTCAATGGCTAAATAGGACAATAGATATGCAGGTGCCTAGCACACTGCCTGGCATATAGTAGCTATGTTTCTTTACTATTTTACAAGCCAATTGCAGCCGATGGATGGTTCAGTTATGGTTTGCTCTATGACTCTTGCTAATGAGAGCTGTTCCACTTGTCTAGTTGGAGTGGAAAATCAGAGATAAACCTTAAAGCCCCCAAGATACTATTAGGGAATTTGGACCTAGCCAGGAAAAATAGCAAGTTTGTCTGCTTTAATAATTATGTACCAACTCCTGGCAACTCTTTTAGTTATTTGGCATTTCCTTTGTCCACACTTACGGTTAGATTCCCGTGCAGTTTCATCCCAGAGGTGACTATACTAGAGTAGAAGATTCATAGTCCTGTGGTTTTCCTGACAATCAGTGAGTAACACTTTACCTCATGTAAGGTTGCAATCATCACCATTCCACATCACTTAACATTAGCATAATTTCAAGTGGTTTTCATATTGCTTGATCATGCTCTGAGCTCTGAAATACGAGTTTTGATGCCTTTTCAACAATCCTGAACTATCGTAATTTTTTGTAACCCAGCCATTTTGGGGCATAATCTGATCTAGAAAGTTAATAAAATTATAGCTATTTTTCTTTGTATTAAGCAAAGTGTGTTTATTGACCTACCTACAGCGGGTTGGAGATTCTTAGAAAACAGATTCAGTGAGATCCCCAGGTCACAGGCAGATGACCTGTGCACAGATTTCATTTCTTCTCTCACTGGCTCTGTGGCTTTGAGCAAGTTACTTGTTCTTCTCCAGACCTCAGTTTATAATTTACATAATTCATCAGTGTTGTCCAAGATGTGTTCTGTGGAACACCAGTCCCATGAAATATTCTTTGGCAAAAAAGGTTCTATTATCAATTAAAATTGGGAAGTCACTTAAATAGAATATTAAAGGCTCTGTGAAGTTCGTATAACAACAGAATTATTTAATTTTGTCTTACCTAGCTGTCTCTGCTATTTTACTACAGAAATCTTATTTAGACTAACACCCAGTCACATTCCACAGTTGGAAATACCCTGGGAAATTTCTGGACATCTCTGAATATTCTGCTTGATTTCCTTTTTTCCCCCCTTGTTTGGATATTGTATTGTGAATAGGTGCTTTTAGACAGCTACTTTTTAGGAATTAAATCTATGCTACTAGTGTTGATGTAGAGAAGTAGTTCAAACAATAGAAATGTAAAGCCAATGCATATATAGAGGATTTACAGTGTATCTCAATTTTAAGTGTGTTTATGTATTTACCAGTTATTATCCGGACCAGGAAAAGACACTCATGTAATATGTTTTGTTTTTTCCATAATATTCATTTTGTGGGGGCCAGACAGTAATCTTGGTATATTCTTGGAAACCTAAATGGGTTTATCTCAAATATTAAATTAGTAGTTACTTATAGATTAATAATTAGTGAGGCTGTGAAAAATGAAAATAATGTTCTCCCCTGGCTCCAAGAGACAATTAATTAGGTTTAGATACAAGGAGCTGGATTTATTTTAACTAACAGGATTTTTTGTTTTGTTTGTTTTGGAATTCTATTCTGTTTTCCTTTTAATGGATCCGTAATCCACCTCTTCTTCTCTAGTTGTATTCTACTCTGAAAGAAGGCAACCCACCCTGGGAGGTGACAGAAGCGGTTCTCTTTATCATGGCTGCTATAGCAAAGAGTGTTGATCCGTGAGTGTCTAATAAGTCTTTTGCTGGGAACTCTAAATATCAAAGGAAGGAAAATTATACCATTTTTCTCATGTGGTATATATTTGGAAACTCTTAGAACTTCTTACTTCTATAATTGCAACCTAGTCTTCTGACTTCTAGAGTCTAGCCCGAAGTAGCATGTGTTGCTGATATCCATGTTTAAACCACATTTGCTAGAGTTAAAATTATTTTGTTCTTGATGCTAGGAAAAGAATGCTGATTTATTTTTTCATCCAAGGATCCTTTGTGAAAGTTGGTATAATAAAAAATATTGTTCTCCTTTTTTTCTGTCTTAGAGATTTATTTGTGAGTTTTAGAGAGGCGAGGCATAGGCACTCTTTTACCTAAAAGAATAGCAGAATCTAAAGGGCAGTTATTTTTGTTATTGCTATTGGAAATTTTTTAATTATTAGAATTTGATTTTTAATTGCTTAGAATAGAAATTCTATTTATGATTTTAACACGAATCCCTAAAAACAGTTTACTTTGTGCCATGAGTTTATAAATTGATGTTAGTATCTGTCAAGTTTTCTTGTATTATGATCAGATACCTGCAGTTGAGCTCTCTATCGTGGGCCTCGATTGGAAAGATGGATAAGGCATGTATTTGTAAAAAGTACAGTGCTTCTTTCTTAGCTGCCTTACAGGGCCTAGTCAGTGAAATCTGATATTGTTTCTAATCCAGTAAATATTCAGGGACACAAGACTAGGTTCGTTTTTCTCCATTAAAAGCTTCTGGTCCTGAATTACATCCTATACTGTTTATTCTTAAACCTGTTTTGGTGTCTTCCGGAATCTTCATCGACAGCCTGAAGATTATTCAAATCACTCATATTCTAACTGATATGTGTTGGTGTGAAAAAAGATAGGTAGAGAGTATCAATAATTAGCTAGTGTCCCTGCGAAACATAAATGAGACACGATTTTCTTTCTTTTTTTGTTTATCTGCATTTCAAGCCAAGTGCATGATTGTAAATTTTTAATATATATAGAGGAATTAATAGACTAGTTTATCAGGAAGTGCTCTTGCTCGGATCCAGGATATTGTTTATATTTTAAACATCTTTCATTTCTGGATTGTGTTCTACCACTTTGGGGGCATTCTCCACTCTACTTAAAAGAACTTCAGCCAATGTTCTTGAGGAGTGAATAAAGAGAAGGAAAAGGAGAAAATAAAATCCATGGAGCTGTGGAAAGTATTTGGTTTCCTTTGATTTACCCTCATGTTCCAAGTCAGGGTACCTTTACCCGTTCCTGCAGCTTGTGTTCTTGTGCCTTTTGTCAGTGAGCCAGCCCACTCGTGCTAAACTGTTCTTAGTTTCCAGTGCCCAGCTATAAGAAACCTTCTGGAGAGTCACAGCTAATAGAGAGTGGTCTGTGAGAACTGTTCATTCATTCATGTAGCCGTTCAGCAATATTTACGGAGTGCCTACTATGTGCCAGGCACTGTTCTAAGTGCTGCAGATACAGAAATAAATAAAACAGTCTTTAAAAGAAGACATTCATTCACAACAAATGCCTGCCTCTCCAATTTGAAGAGCCTTATTTGATAGCAGGATGTGTGTTAGATGCTTCACTGGCATTCAGAATTAAGGAGCAGTATGCTTCTGAAACAGTGATAGCTTCCATTTCTTTCTTTTCCCCCTTTTTGAGGATTTAAACTTCCGTGCCAAGTGCTAAGCACTTTTATTCAAACGGTTATTTATTTAGAAAGAAGCCCTTTAGCAATGATTTGTGTCATTGCAGCCTGTTACTTGGCCAGAACCTGACCTCTGAAATCAGTAACTGAGCACTTGCCTTCTGTTCTCAGGGAGAACAATCCCACACTTGTGGAGGTCCTGGAAGGAGTTGTCCGTCTCCCAGAGACTGTACACACTGCGGTGCGATACACCAGCATTGAATTGGTTGGAGAGATGAGCGAAGTGGTTGATCGAAATCCTCAGTTCCTTGGTATGTGTGAACTCGCCCCTTAGCTGCTGCTGCTACTGGTTTTTCTGATTTTCTTCTTCCTCTCTCTTACTTTTGCTCTCATTTTCCTGCTTTCTCTTTTATTGATAGGTAGAATGTTCCTAGACACCAAGAGTAAATATTATGAGTTATTGCTTAGTTGATACAACATCTGTAATCTGATCAGACTTTGGAGAAAGGACTTTTGAAAGATAAGATCCACAGATAGGGCAAAGTTTGCTGCCAGCACACTGCTTCAGAATGAACATTTCTGTCTTGGCTATTAGCCTTTGGCTGTGCTTGAGCTAATCAGACTCTCCTATGGCTCTAACTTAAAAGCTAAAGCTAAGGAGAGGGTTTTCCAGAGTTACACACTCCCTTTAATGTGTTTCCTGTACTTATCTTTATTAATTACCACCTTTCAACTTGATTTTATTTTACACAAGATTTTTTTTATTGATTGCTTAAATAATGATTGATGTGTGTTCCTTTTTTTGCTTGTTTCTGTACATGATTTTTCTTGGGGTTTTCTGTAGAAAAATATGATTTTTATAAAGCAAGGTAAAAGATAAGTAAGATTTGCTTTATAGTAATTCATCTTTATAGTCAATTTTCTTGGAACATTCACTTACATTTGATAAAGTAAAGCAAAATAAATGAATTCTTCTAGAAGTGCTAAAGATCCGTCTGTGTGTTTTTAAGGCCTTTTGTTACTAAAGAAGTAAGTAAGAAAGTGTCAGCTTTAGGTAACTGCCATTGTCCGATTAATGTAGACTGTTTTACAAAGTGATTCATCTCTGAGTATAATGGTGGCTCTCTGAGCTTTTACATTCTTTCTCACATTACCCTGTTTTTAATACTTGGATGGTCATATCCACTAGTGATTTTCAAACTGAGTCGGTGGTTTTCAAACTGCTCTGTGAAATCCTAGCAACAAGCAGCAGTTGACTGTCATGAGGAAAGAAATGGAAGATACACACATAGATAGGACTCTGATAGGGCTCCCTGACGCTATGTCAGTGAGATCAGCTCCATTTTTATATGTTTTATATATTAGGGTTTGAAAACATTCATTTTTTAAAATGATTCTTTTGCTTTAAAAAGAAAGGGAATGTAAACCTCTGTTCTAACAAACTTGAAGTTTTCCTTGACTTCCAAATATGTAATCTCTACTGTATGGTTTTCTCCTTAGACCCTGTGTTGGGCTATTTGATGAAAGGCCTTTGTGAAAAGCCTCTGGCTTCTGCTGCAGCCAAAGCCATTCATAACATTTGTTCTGTCTGCCGAGACCACATGGCTCAGCACTTTAATGGACTCCTGGAGATTGCCCGTTCCCTTGATTCCTTCATGTTGTCTCCAGAAGCTGCTGTGGGCTTGTTAAAAGGTACTTACCTAGGCTAGTAACCAGGAAGAGTCTCCTGTAAGCACTTCGAGGGATTGTCTTACATCAGTCATATCCCAATTTGTCAGTTGCAGTTTACTTAGTGATGGGGAAGGTGGTTTTTCCATTCAGAGGGGAGTGTGTTGATTATGTGTACATGCATTTTTAGACTATTTTAAAGCTATATAACTAATTCAAACTACATACAGTATGTATAGCACAGACCTAGATTTGGGGTGGAGACAACAGGTTTGAACTAAAAGTAGTCCTTTTTGAGTTAGAAGAAGAATAAGAAGGGAGATCAAATAAGCACTGCCATACGAAAGAGGTAAGAGGAAATTTAAAGGTAGCGTGCCTGGATCAATCCTATAAGTAGCAATCAAGAGCCCTGGTCTCTTAGTGGCCCTTAGCCATTACTGGTCAGCTTACACTGAGTGATTGCCTGTCTAGAGGCACATAGGCAGGGTTGTGATGAAGCACAGAGTAACAGAAAAACTAGAGATATTAGATTAAAGCTAGGAAAAAAGACTTAGAAGAGACTTTAAACATGTTGGCTATTTTTATATATTTAAAATACTACGTTATAAAAGGGGGAATAGATTTAGTCTATGAATGATCAACTGTTGACAGTTCACTGGCTCCTAGAAAGAAAATGCTTTCTAACCAGACTTTCTGAAGACAGATTGGGGTGTCTCAAGAGGTAGTGAAATCCTTACAGCTGGTAGTTGACAAGGGATTGGGGGATATCAAATAAAAGATTGGGTTATATGACCTGTGCAGCATCTTTTAAGCCTCTGGGAGTGGCAGACAGCCTTGGCAAGACTGGATGACCTTACGTCTGAACTAGCTGTTTTTTCCCACTTCTGTGACCAGGATCTTTACCAGCCAGTGTAACTGCATTTTTCCAAGACAGTTTTTCTTTTTGTTCCATGGGTTTTTGTTGTTTCCCTTCATAGGCATAGATAATAAGGCATTAAATCAGAGTCAGATATTCTTTGTAACTACTGCTGTGATATTGTTGCCATCTTGTCATTTTCTAGTGAAATTAAACCTTCATGCTGAAGTGATGTCTAACCTGTAATAGAATGTGGCATCCCAGTTTTCAGTGGTATATTCTAGATATACAAAATTCTTTTAAGTTACGTTATTTTCTGTAGAAATGAATTAAAAGGAAAAATCATATTTAAGTTAGATTCCCCCCCAACCCCACTCAAGTTTTAAATAAAAGTCTACACATCCATGGCTAATAGACTGTCAGGAAAAATCAGTTCAGTT